TCGAGATGGCGCCTTCCGAAGCTGAAACTAAATAATATTTTAAGAATTCAGTCCGAACCGCGAAGAAAACACAACACTTCACCATTACAAAGATCAACTGGTTAACGCTGTTTAAGAAAATAATCGCTGTTTGCTGTGAGAATTATACAAAACCCATAGCAAAATGCAGAGATGGTACACATGTTTACAGACTTGATCAACCAATTTCCGAGCATCTATTTACGTCTTACCGCGTTATTCTTTTTGTGATGGAATGAAAGTCTCTATATTTTTATACGCTTATTATGTAGATCTTTCAGTTATTTATGAAACGATTTTAACTGCATGAGATTTGAGGTTGTCAGAACGCTGGAAATGTCGTCGCCCGTCTTTTGGGATTCAAAGCCGTGTTGTGTTGCAGATGGGATACTAACGTTTCGAAGAACACACTGCATCCATCTTCTGGGTCGAAGTGTTGATATCTATATACACGTCCACGAGGCGTTACAAACCATAAGACCAAGATCTTCGTGGATGATTTCAACTATTCTAAGAATGCTTGAATGTCAGATTGAGTGTTAGTATTCGATTTTAATAAAAGACTTTTCGTTTTCTAATGTGATCGGGTGTTATAGACGTATAGATTCGTAATGGGAGATAGTATTTGTAAGTTTTCAAAAGTCCATATCGACTATTCTGTGTGTAGGCCTATTAGCTTGATGTTTCTAGCTCAAAGTAGCTTGCTTCATCAACGAAGTGTTATAGGTGGCAAGTTAAAATGGACGTGACAGCTCCATCCCATGTCCCCCGTTTCACTTAATGTTATGACTTTGGATGCCATTCTATGGGTATTCTGGTGGTACTCCCCCCCCCCTCCACACTGTGGAGCACTTAACAAAATGGCTCTGTACCCAGTTCGGCCCAATGCACTTTCGGAACGGAGACGTAACTGTATTTTATTAGAAGACGCAAGTTGAAGTGATATACAGCCCGCTGATATTCCACGCTCGCTGACTTTAGGTCGGGGGAGGGGGGTGGTGTGGATCATCCAGTTTTTGCAAACCGGAGTGGAACATGTCGACGTCATGTTTCTGACGATAATGCCTTCAAAACTTGTGACGAAAGGGTGTGAATAACTGCGGTTTTAAACAGGAAACTTCTCGTCGTGTCCTTGGTAATGATGTATTCGAAACATCTGGTACAAATTCGTGAAGAATTGTAATTTAAAAACGTGAAATTTATGGATTTTTTTTTTAAATCATAATTGATAATCCGATTACATGTTTTGTTTTTTACTGACGAAGTATCGCGTTTTGAATTTCTGGCCCGCTCATACGAAGAAGCGAGTCTTGTATTCCATTATACATGAAATTATTCCTTCAGTTTTGCTTTGCTGTTTTGAGGTATATTTGATCGTACTATTTAAATCAGAGTTATTGTTTGTTTAATTATTTTTGATTCAAGCGGCCTTGGCTTTATTTAAGTTATCCTACTAACATTTGTTCGGGGGGACTGAGTAAAATCACGAAAATCTGTCAGCATATAAAAGGTCTGGAACAAACCGTGCGTTTCGCTTACGTCGCTGGTTTGCGGGTGGAAGGTTGAAATAAACGAATATACTACGTAAGTTAAAAACATCACCTGAGACAGCGGAGTACAAAGTATTGCAGCTGGGAAATGTGTTTTGTGTGGATAGTACGTGGTTCCTTACTTTATGCCCCTCCCGCCCCTGTAACTCTCTTGCCGTTTACTTCGAACTGACGTGGAACGCACGGTATTTCCCCGATTTCGGAACACGCTATAGTAATATGCTTAACGTGTTTTCCAGCATATAGCAAATAAAAACACTGCAGTAACTTGTTACTGTTGCAACGCTTCAAGTAACATTCTGCAGTCAGAATACTGTCTGGCATCATCACATTCGGCTTCTCCTCACGCAGGTTAGTTTCTTAGTCCACTGTTGCGTCAACATGCTCATAACATATGTTGTAAACAATGGCTTGTGCAATGAATGGACAAGCCTCAAGACGTTTCCGTACCAACAAAATAGTGCTATAAATTTATCTAACAACATTCCCAGCCCATCTCAGTTGCATTGATATCCTGACAGTTCTAGGTGGTCTCTATAAATTTGGAGATTTCGCGTTATGTAATATGAATTTACCCCTTAATTTGTCTTAGGTAGTCTAGCGGTGGTCTAGCGGTTAGAACGCTGGCCTTGTAATCGTGGGGTCTCGGGTTCGAATTTATAACTTGTGGTGGTCTAGGCAACACGGAGTTTTTCTCCGTGGCATCCCAACAATTACTCCATTCACACCCAGAAGAAGGCAATGGCAAACCACTTCTGGATCATCTGCCAAGAACGTATATGAACAGGTCCCAGTCCGAGAAAAGGATGGAAGGATCCTGTTCATATGGACCTGTCGTCACACAGAACACTAAATAAATAAATAACGTGTTACGACATTGTTGCTCTGATATGATCCGAGGACATTGTTGTGACGTCAGTGGTCACCCGCCAATAGCAAGTTGCCAATTCTCGTTTAAAAACGCGACAGACTGAAACGGCTCGTAAACTGTAATTCGCTCGCCCTAAAGCGCCTAAGAATAATAACAAAATTTTAACGTAATCCAGCGAATATGCCCGAATTGTAGCGAACGGATTTGAAATGACGAGTTTAAAAACAAATCCCTGTTGAAATATGACTGAGAAACTATCAGCGTATCATGAAGAGTCTGTTATTTTTGAGCAAGTCTCTGAGTTGGTCCAGCGTCATCCACGCGCTGGGTTGGGCGTTGGGCATTAGCCCGATACGCCTGGGTGTTCCGCTCGGAGCATGCGCGTAAGGCCCCCTGCATTCTAGTTCTCGCCATATAAAAGTAGGCTTTGCTACCTTTCCTATTGTAAGCTAACGTCATAAACTTTCCTGGCTGTGTCTTCTACCTCGCTGGTATTTATGACATTTCAAATTTCAAAAGGAATAGAAGAATAGAGTTAAATATTTAAATTTTATATTTTGTGTCGGTACTTACCCAACATAGCGTCTAAAGTCAGATCTCAGGATCTGTATGTACCACCTGCTTTAACAATCAGTAGCCCTTCATTTTGAATTTGTGGATTTCGTATGATTCTCAGAGTAAACAGCGATTATTTCCTTAAACAGCGTTAACCAGTTGATCTACGTAATGGTGAAGTGTGTTGTTTTCTTCGCGGTACGGACTGAATTCTTACGTAATATTTATACGAGCTTTGGCTTCAAAGGATTAACCAATTGATCTACGTAATGGTGAAGTGTGTTGTTTTCTTCGCGGTACGGACTGAATGCTTAAAGAAAATTCATCGTAGTTGATACCTGTTAGGTTTTTCCTAGATTTCAGTCTTATTCTCCCTAGTTGCTTAAATTTAATATTTTTTGTCAATTTCTTTCGTTTTGCGTCTAGATTCCTTTATTTCATTATTTGAAAGATGAATAATCTAAGTTCATGATTTATATCCACTTTTCTGTCAACAACTAAATGTATAGATGGGAGAGATGAATGAAAAGCTGATAGTTGTCTACATATTCAGTCTTCTCTACATTTTATGGAATTTTTTAAGTTCATTACCGTGACGAGAAACAAATCAACGCACTTTTTTCTTTAAAATCCATTTTAATTCAAGGAGACTATATTCTGCATACCTCAAAGTCTCTCAGGTTATCTTATGTGTTAAGGTTTCCCGACTGAAACTTCGTACGCATTTCTCATTTCCCCGTGTGTTCTACCCGTCCTACCCATCCTATCCTTCATTGTATTACTCTCATAATGTCTGATGCGTAGCACAACTTATGAAGTTTTTCATTGTGTAATTTTCTCAATTCTTATGTAATTTCCTGTTTATTAGGCCTAAATATTCTTTCATCACTTCGGATTTTTTTTTTTTAAATTCCATCACTTCACGTGTAAAACCATTTTCATATCCCTATAAAGCAGGTTGTAAAATTTCTATATATTTTTTAGTCAAGAACGCAAAGGAACCTGTTCCGGATGTTATAAAACGTTTCACGTCCTTAATCTGATCTTAAATATTTCGTGAATTTCTTTATATTTCTTTCTGTCTTCTTAAATATAATAACCTTACAAGTTTACAGGTGGATTGATCACTCTTCTGTAAGATTTATATCCTAGATGTTTTTATCCTGCAGATAACCTGGATATGATCTGATATAAATGAATAATGATCAGGAAATGTCAGGGTTTAAGACGTAAGGTAGTGCGTCCTTTTTATCGTGAGACCGGCTGTGATCAGGCATGGAGTTAAGAAAAATCCCTCGCCTTCTATATCACAGCCGCTATCACGTTGAATCTTCATTGTGCATTGGTAAGGTAAATAAAACGTAAAACACTTATTTCGGTGTAAGAGATTCTCGCCAACATATTTATATTACAAATAAATGTTGTTATAATATATTAGTAGCTCATGCGTTATACAATATCTGTTGTTACAAGTCGTGGTTTTGTTTAAATCCAGCTGGTTTCCGATTTTCATTTATACACGAAATTTACAGTAAATTATTTCCTTCTCATACACATTCACATACATTCGGTATCTATAGTAACTTTTTATTTGTAACACAGTAACACAGCTAAACGGTTATATACATTTCGAATCTTCTCTCACAAACACACACACATACACACACATTAGCTGACATGCGTTTCGTTCTGAAAAAAGAAACATGTTGATTTGTGTTTATAACAAAACATTTTTTTAAATAAAATGTTTCTCCTACAGATCACAAGGCGTCATAAGCCGTTCTCGTATTCAACGCCCGAGTGAGTACCTCAGATTACGTACAACTTTGCACTCGACTTTCGTCGATACAGAGTAACCTAATTGCTTATTCTTTATAGGTCTTCAATCGTTTAAAGTTGATCTTTGTAATGGTGAAGTGTAGTGTTTTCTTCGCGGTACGGACTGAATTCTTACGTAATATTTATACGAGCTTCGGCTTCAAAGGGTTAACCAGTTGATCTTTGTAATGGTGAAGTGTCGTGTTTTCTACGCGGTACGGACTGAATTCTTAAATATTATTTAGACGAGTTTTGTATCCAGAGGGTGAAGAGTAATTAGGAAGCAAATAGTCGAATATCTCAATACGTGAGATCTGATCAAAAAAGTGTCGAGACTGATTTCTTATCTCAGACTGCGCGGAAACGTGGCTTTGGTGATCGAGTCCTGACATGTTACTGCATGTCACAGCCGGTTTATAGCTCATTGGTATTTACCACTGAGATCCAAGTTATCTGATCACCATTTTAACAGAACAACACTAATTTTTCACACATGAAACTTCCACTGTACAGAGGGTTGCCTGTCAGTTGAATTTCTACCGTAATTTTATGAATTCATGGAAATATTAAAATAATTTGGCTGGATCTACAGGTGTTTATGTCTATCTGTCTTTGCAAAATGGTCGTGTTTTTGTAGGTATCTCGATTATGGCGTGAAATACGTTAAGTTTCAAATAATCCTGTGGAAAATGAAATAAAGACAGTTTCTTCGTACATGGTTCACTGTTATTGAGCAGTCTACTGTATATGTTATCTTAGATTTCTTGAGAAGCTGATAGTCATTCAGCTGGTCAAAAACTCCTCGACTTTTTAAAATATCTGTAGTGAAAATTGCATTAAGGGGCTCAGCATATTCTAAATTAATATAATATTGTTGTCAAATGAATGTGTTAATAAAGTGTTTAGTCATCAGATAAATGCTTACAGATTTTTGGATCTAAAACCAGAAAGAAAGAATGGTTACTCGAAATGGGTGGTTAATGTGATATGGGCCTTAAGCAAGTAGGGTGGGAGGGTTTTAACTGGGTTAATCTGGCTCAGACTAGACTCCAGTTTCGGAATTTTGTGGACACGGTAATGAACGTTTGAGTTCCAAAAACTGCGGGAAATTTATTAACCAACTCGGATGCTATTACCTTATAAATAAGGGCATTACTACGTGGTATTATAGTGTAAATATACGCTTTTTAAATTATTAGAATTTTTATAAACAAATATTCAATATTTCTTTATAAAATAAAAAATAAAATAAACTTTTTAAGTGTTTCTTGTTTCCAGTACAAGTATGATTTTGTTTCGAAGATTAAACCTCATATAAAACGCCACTGCTCACTGTTTGTTTATCGTATACACAGCGTTTAAAGTAAAACGTAAATAGTCTACACCGGAAGTCGCGGTGAGATATTCATAATTGATGCTCTGAACGTGGGAGATAAAGGAGTCGACCTCTTCTAAAGGACTGGCATTCTTGACTGAGTCTTTTGGTGGTTTGTCTCAGTTTTTCAAGGGAAATTATATAGTAATGTCTTAAAGTAGGCCACGACCTCTTTCACATTCATCGCATAGTCACTATAAACAGTCATCCTCTTATTGACACTATATAAACTATGCAGTTGTGAATTCGTCGTTAAATAAACAGATAATGAATCATCGAACACTGTCTTACTGTTGGGTTTTCAGATTTGCTAAAATATTAATATGTCTTTTCGTCACATGATAGTCATGTGATATTTCGGGTAAACTTAGTAAATGCGTCATCAAGCGAAACATATTCATCGTCGTAAGTGTCATATCACAATTTTGTGTAATAATCTTTATTAAGATCGTTGAAGATTTATAATTTATGGTCCAACGCCCGAAAACGGTATGAATTATATTTTATCTTATTTTGTAATTATCAGTAGGGAAGTTTTATTAACTTGAGATCTGTTTTCTCGATTCTGTACGCTAATTCCCTTTACTATAAATAATTCCGTTCAGGGATTAAGAATTAATTAACTTGACTAACGTAATGATTACTTATCAGTGACTAGCTTTTTATTCGTTTACATTTCGTCAAAAGTCACAGAGCAGTTTTATTTTCCGTTCGCTGACAAAGTTGAACGCATCTGTCATTTTCCGGCTCCCGGCTGGAACCTCTGTTCTAAATTGATTTAATTATTTTCATGGAGCAATGCTTGACTCGTATCGCGAAAACCACGTAGCACTTAGCCGTGAGTCATGTAGGTTGCAGCCTGCAGCAGATAAGTAATAATTGCGTTCAACTTCATCAGTGAACGCCGATTGTAACCAATTCTTGAAACAGATCTTTAGTCCCCCTACATGCAGCTTGGTCATAAACTGATTAATGTTTATAAATTATAATATCCTACATTACTGTTCACTGTAAGTTACAACAAATGTTACACCTAAATTATATGTCACTTTCTTGTGTTTTGCTTATTCGTGATTCTTTGGACGCAAAGTAATTTGTTTTGTTTTAAAACCGTCTTTATTTATTGTAATAAATATCTTAGTTACGTCGTTGCCAGTATCTGCTTCAGGTCTTCTATTTGCTGTCTGTTTTTGTTTAACATTTGCGTCTGATTAAGCTGGCATTTGATACTGGAAACTCATGTTAATTACGAAGTTTGGATTCCTAGATCCATTACCTGTGTACTCGAATTTAAATTGACACCTTGCAGATGCTCGCAGATGTTAGTCTTTCTCCGAAGTAGATTATGCACTTTGAAACATAATTGTATTTATCATTCTGTTTTTATAGTTGAATAAGTGCCTACCGGTCTCTTATTCTCTCGGTTTTTACGTCACTGATCAATGTATTCCACAGTTCAGTATTCTGTAGACACGTTTTCACATACAGAGTGTTCTAATTAAAACGTAAGTTTAACTACTATAAATATAGCCACTCCCTTCACGCACAGAACGACAAAACCGATTAATCGTTGCGTATGTAACTCGTAAGTGATGCACTACTTGAAATCGGCGCTCGATGTTCGCTTGTACACAGACAAACACTTTCTGTGTCCCGAAGTGTTGTTACCGGTCGGTGTTACGTTGTTTCATTAGGTTATTCCTCGTCAGGACACGTATTGCTGAATGTTTCACATACGATTTCGACGCAACTGGTGTAAGCATCGGCCTAGCAAATACGGTGACCTTGACTCTCGTAGATACTGTTACACGATGTGGCCCTGCTTCAGAAACAATTTCTGTACTGTTGTACGTGATTGTTGTTCGCATACGTTTTAAATGTTACACCCTGTATAAATATACTGATTTCAATATTTTTCCGTGTCATGCTGCATTAGACTGGATTTATAAATTGGTGATAGGATAAAAGCCAGCGTCTCATTGTCTTTTACTCCACCGGCTTTTAATGTCAGGTTATGGGAATCACATCACATCACGTGGTCACTCGTGGCGTGTGGGTTCACCGTCAGTAGTTCTTAAGTCCCTTTCACTGTCGGGCGAGTTCTTCCTCCTGCAGTTCCCGTCTCAGCCGTTTGGCGGCGTTGCCTCTGACACCGAGGTCGTCCTCGTCCCTGTCTGATCCGTCGCCGTCTGCCAACCCCTCGGCTTCTTCCTGTTTACGTTTTGCCGTCGCCATCTCTGCAGCATGCTTCTTCCGCCATTTTGTCCGCCGATTCTGGAACCAGACCTGAAACACGTAAGGGGAAAAAAAATTACTGGGGGAAAAGACCCGTTGAAATCAAACGGGGAACGTTTCCTTTCGTATTTTCATCATTCGCTACCAAAATTTTATTACAGTTTCGAAATCTGATTAAAAGTGATAAAACTACACAAAATCATAACGAGTTTCCAAAATTTGTTCTTAAATCTGGTGGTTACCGTTAAACCTTCCGATTAACATATTAGTTTATTTTTTTACACATTCAAGATTCACGAAATTTTGCTGATGTTTGGAATTAATCGAGGGTGTCCCGCGCAATTCGAAACCCACCGACTGTCATTGTGACTAACTCATTTCCCGATAGATGACTCGCTGTTGAGCTTTGTTGTCACTGAAGGTTCCACGTTTGGTTAGACTCTCGTATTTATTCACAGAAACTAATTTGTAATAGTAATCTCAGCAGACCTCAAAAACTCTCGAAATTATGTGTCCGTGTGCAGATTCCTGGTACTAACGTATCATTCAAACAAGACGGCTTAGACAGATTTTACAAAATTTGCGGCGTTGTCAGATCTTCCGCTAGAACATGACCCTCCTGAGGCCAACCGTCAAAACATGCAACATTGTGTTCCATCGTCTTCCTTCGCCTGTCACTGAAAACAATTAAAAATCCTTCAAAACCAAGTCTCGATGAAAATTTTATTTTCACCTAAAAGTTATGTAAGTTTTGAACAACGATTGATGGAGCCTCGGGACGAATACTTTCTGTTGTTGATCGGTTTAACTAACACCCACCGCGATACTTCCTAATGCGCAACAAACAGCCAGGCGCCTTCTTGTTTGAATCTTAGAGTAGTTAAGTGGGCAAGAACGTTGGTAGGAAGCCTCGCAGAGTTTCTGAGCGCGCAGTATCTCTCTCTCTCTTGTTCGTGGTAGTTAGTAAGAGTTGCAGTACATCACCGCGGCTTTAATCATCCAGTCTGCCTCACTCGCTCGCCTTCCTCTATCTTTTATCATAAAGTGAGTCCCGAATAGAGGGCGCTGGTAATCAAGTGTAATTATGCGTTGTATTTGCAAATTACATGGTATTTAGGCCAGCATGTAATGCTCATCAATCATGGAGCGGAGAGTTGGGAAAGGAATAGAAGGTGGGGTGGGCGAGATAGTGCTGGCTGCTCTAAAGACCGCCTCTACATCCCACACCCAGACGCCGAACCAGGGGTCTGTAGTCCCTTATCGTCTAAATGAAGTGGTATTAGGCGTCGCAACGATGCTTGCAAAATGTGGTTCGGATAGAGACGGGGGGATGGAAAGGGGTTAATATTGAGGGGCGGAGAGGATGGCTTACTTGTTCCACAAGCTGTAATGTGGAGACCGGGTGAGAATGGACCTTCGGAAATGATAATGTGATAGTGAGGCTCTCATGTTACAGACCCTATCATCTTCACTGCGTAGTATATTAAGCTTGGTCGAATGGTATTTATATGTACCACCTGCTTTAACATCGAATAATTCCTCATTTTCCCACGGAATGTGTTCACACTTTTAATTTATTTATTTTTCAGAATAATCAGCGATTAGTTCCCTGAACAGCGTTAAGAAGTTGATCTTTGTAATGGTGAAGTGTTGTGTTTTCTTTGCGGTACGCATTGAATTCTTACGTAATATTTAGACTAGCTTTGGCTTCAAAGGTTTAACCAATTGATGTTTTTAATGGTGAAGTGTGGTGTTTTCTTTGCGGTACGGACTAGATTCTTAAATACTGTGAAGATCAGCTTTGGCTTCAAAGGGTTAATAGTTCTTTTAGATGTTCAACAGAAGGTGCAGGTGAGAAAGTGAGTGTGATTGAATTTTCGACACAAAAATGTCGTAAATTACGTAGATCTACAGAGGTTTATATAAATACAGATAATTAAATAGTGTTGTCAGTTTACTGGGTCTAAAATTCCTAGACAGTTCTATCCACAACACACCGTTACACTCTGTCCCCCTGGCATTTATCTTCTGTATCATATTCCAGCTACCGGATTGACATTTTCAAGTGTTTTTCCTATCATAAAAATTCTCTGTGCATTTCTTGCCTCATTCCCAGCCCATATAAGCCTTCTCCGCCTCACTATACCTATAAGAATGCTTTAACTAAACAAATACCCAAGTTCCTTATCGTGTAATCCCAGCTTTGTGACATTATCGTTGCGAGATGAAAAATGTTTAGCGTTTTGTCTTTAAACATCCCTTCACTGTTAGAGACGAATTTTTGCTCCCGTACCAAACTTCTAGCGAAGAAGATAGGATATGAATCGGCCGCTCGTTTGGTTGCATCACGCCACTGAAATCGGGCCATCTCGCGTGAAAGCCACAGCATCTGGACGCCTTGAAACAAGGGGATTACCCGTGTTGCAGCGTTCCTAGGCGATGCCATCGGAGCTTAAGTTAACCAACATTTCATTTCGTAATAATAAAGGGCGAGCAGAACGCGAAATATAGCACCTGTTATTAATTATTACATTAAAACCTTGTGTTCGCATAAAGCGACCCCCTTGTTTCTGTTTTCTACCACAGCCACGGGCGAAACTTGGGCTACTTTTACTAGTGGCATCTGGCGGGAGTACGCGAGGCAAACAAGTGAAAGTTGTAGCTTGTCTCACTGCTAGTATTTTGTACAAATATGGTCATTTTAAGTTGAACGAAGTGTTACTAATAAATTTTTTAACTACTACGTCATGAAACGGTATTTAAAAATTCACTCATTGGGCTATCGAAAAGGCACGGTAACATTTCTGTTCAGAAAACAGAAAAAATCTGAGTAATGATACTGGTATAAGGTCGTATCTTAATATATGACAACCGGCAATATGACGGATTTTATGTCAAATTAAATTTGGTTTTGTTTACCAAGCCGTGCCCTGAGATTTCCTCAGCCATTAGTTAGTCTCGGCCACCAAGTGTGGATTTGCGAGCTCGCCATCGTGACAGTTAAAAAAAAACAAAAAAAACTATCGTTCGTGTATCGGGAGGGTCGGAATTGTGGGTTAAAGTTTCATCACTGCAAATGGAAAACAATACAATTTATCTTTTGCTTGTCTGCTCTGCTTATCGCTTTTATACAGTGTTATTTATATAAAAAGGGGGGTTTGTTCTACTGCCACGGGAAATGAACATTTTACACTCTTTTTAAACAAGATTCATAACCATCAAATTTCTCGGCGAGAGATTCTCTCCTATGTTTTGTATTCGGGAGGTCAATGGTTCAAGTCTCGCGGCTGCCCTGATGAAGTTGTTCAGTAGTTTTCATCGTTAAAATATTAAATTGCTTCTCTGGCCTGTTTTCAGAATTTAATTATTGAAAATAAATACTTTAGATGTTTCATAATCGGTTGAAATATCACACAAGAATTTTCTATGTGTACCCCTTCTCCCCGTTACATCCCACAAGTTAACCCTTTGTAGCCGAAGCTCGTCTAAATATTATTTAAAGAATTCAGTCCGTACCGCGAAGAAAACACTACACTTCACCATTAAAAAGATCAACTGGTTAATCCTTTGAAGCCGAAGTTCGTTTAAATATTACGTAAGAATTCGGTCCGTACCACGAAGAAAACACTACACTTCACCATTACAAAGATCAACTGGTTAACGCTGTTTAAAGAAATAATCGCTGTTTATTCTGAGAATCATAGTTCGTCTGATTAATATTTAAGAATTCAGTCCGTACCGCGAAGAAAACACCACACTTCACCATTACAAAGATCAACTGGTTAACGCTGTTTAAGGAAGTAATCGCTGTTTAAACTGAGAATCAAACGAAGCACGTTTGTTAAACGATTGTTAAAGTAATTTTTTCTACTCGAGCCAGCTGAGTATCGCGATCCACGATTTGGTAACATACATCAGTGTTTGATCCACAACCAATGATAAAGTTTTGCAGGGCGATTCAGATTAATAAAGCGTGATTTGCCAGATGTAGGCCTGTTTCACACAGAACCGCCAATAATTCCGCGAGCCGTACGTCAACACTGGAAGAATGAAGAAAATAAAACTCGAAAGTGTAATCTATTGTGTCTGTTACGCTGTTCTACGATATTATTTAATAAAGAATAACAGAGAAACGAATCAGAGAAGTTTTCTCTTGTGTTTTGGGTTTATTGCAAGACTTCCGTATCAGCTTTAGCCAGCAGAAATTTTTCATCATCAATAAGGTCCTCTTGGCTACAGAGTTTGCTGTAAATTTCCTTTATCAATATTACGAACAGATCGAAGTGATACGCCCTTTCTTCATAGGGGCACGCAGTAAATTAATCCTTTCACGTTTTAAAATAGTTTACAGGGTGGGTATTGTTGTCCTCTAATTTTTCACCGTGGTTATCTTTGAATATCTTTAGCGAATTAATTTAACAATTGAAGGAACACAAATTCGTGTTGCAAAGTTGCCAACAATGTACTGCGTGCCTCTTCAACAATGTGTTTTGGGATAGATGAGAAATGTTATTATTTATTTATTTAGTGTTCTGTCTGACGACAGATCCATATGAACAGGATCCTTCCATCCTTTTCTCGGACTGGGACCTGTTCATATACGTTCTTGGCAGATGATCCAGAAGTGGTTTGCCATTGCCTTCTTCTGTGTGTGAATGGAGTAATTGTTGGGATGTCACGGAGGAAAACTCCGTGTTGCCTAGACCACGGCCTTGCCTACCACAAGTTATAAATTCGGGCACCGCCGGTGAATCGAACCCGAGACCCCCCAGGATTCTAACCGTGGCGGTATGAGAAATGTATAAAAATGTAATTTATTTGAGGAATTGTTGTTGTCTGGTTGTCATTGTTTAGTTTTAAAAAAATGTGAGTACGAATTCGGAATGGAAGCTTACAATTGAAATTGCGGTTAAAATAATTGTGTTACTACTGGTCTATTCCAAATTGGATATCCAGGCACTTGATCCTGTGAAATATAGAAAAATGAACAGGGATCGAGACATTTTAATTCATCCAGAAAATTATTATTTCGGTAGCTCCAATTTTGATTT